GCGCGCCGCCGGTGCCCGCTCCGCTGCCCCCTGCGCCCTGGGATTCCACACGACCTCGGGCCGCCTCTAGATCCTTCGAAAAGGGCGCCCTTAAAATACGGAGGACGCCTCTCCGTCCCCTCCTCCACTCCCCGCCACGAGGGGCTGGTGCCCTCCCGAGTCCTCGTTGCTTCACGTGCCGGGGTCTCTCTGGCTAGGGTGGGAAGGGGGTGTTTTAGAGAGTACACGTGGACGAGGACGGAGGTGGTGACAGTGTGAACAGAAGTTAACAAGTTGCCGATTTTAGGCAGCTAAAATCTTGAAAACCGAGCCTCCTTAAGGAGGACATACAGTCACTTAAGGTATGCTTCTTATCTTTACAGGGACTATGAAGTCGAATGCTTTTTCTGTGGTATTGGGGTGGGTTTTTCATGTTTTATCGGAAATAGTGTGGCTTTATCTCCTGGGGAACCTGATTTAACAGATATTTACTGCACACCTGGAAGCCACTCAGATATACAGGTAACTAGAGTACACATTCCTCGTTCCCTGCCCTCAATAGAATCCAATAATCCTTAGTTTAAAAAAAAAATGCTGTGAACGCCGCGGCAACAAGGGTACAAGAGCTGTTTCTCAGGTAGCTGAAACCACTTCTAAGCACCTCTGGGCCCTGGGCTGCCCAACTCGGCAGGAACCATCAGAGACCTGCTGGCCAAATTTTCCTTTCTCTGGGAACCAGATCAGTTTTGCTATTCTGATGACTGGAGCCGTTATTTCTCTGCCCTGCCTACTTTACATCAGAGGACTGTCGTGAAGTTTAAGTTAGACACTCTCACGTGGTAAGGCGCTCACAATCTTTTCTCTTCTCTCCTCTGATTTTAGCTAATGTCAGAACCTTGCTGGTCATCAGTCTCTGCATATCCTCTTTCCCAATGCTGAAACAACTTGACTCCCATCTCTAGTCTCACTCCTGCCTGGGTCTTCAGGACAAATCTCATCTTAGCTGGGAAGACTGTGAGTTATAGCCCGATGCTTTGGGAGTCAGTATAAGTCTCTGTTAATAGTCTGGCTGTGGTCCCAATTATCCATTCAGATAACTGGGCTTTTGACTGATGCTTAGTTCCTGTCTCCAGTTCTTGTCTTGTAGTTCTTACTCCCCAGACTTTTGTCTCTTTCCCCTCTGCTTGGAAAATCCTTCTCTTTTTCTCTGGCAAGCATGCTTTTATTCACCCTCCAAAAATCCATTCAAATGTCACATTCTCTTTAAATCCTTCCCAGGTGCATAAGCAGTTTTAGCTGATCTGTCCCTTATCTCTGCTCCCGGTCTTTTCTTGCATGCACTTCAGAATGCATTATATTTTATTTTGTTTTCCTGCCTGACTTCATCTAAAAAATGGGGAACTCTATCTGGAAGGCCCACATCTTACTCATCCTTTTATCTCCAATGCCTAACACAGTAATGACACTTAATGTCTTAGAAATCTGCCCAGCTTCTAAGACCAGTAGACCTGTCTTGATCTTGCCAGCCTCTCTCCCACTTAGGTGGTAAGATACCTGATACAGCTATGTCCTTCTGGCTGTCTGAAAAAATACTACCGCTTCTCTTCCTGGAGATATCCTCTCCATCTTTCCAGAACTGGCTTTAAATGTCACTTTCTTCTATAGCTTCCCTGATCCTTTCTTCAGGGGTGTCAAGGATGAGGTAGAGGAAGGATCAGGGTTACCATAAAATTTTGTATTTACCCCGTTGTAACTTGTCATATTGAACTATGGCTGTGTCTCTCTCTCTCTGGAAAATTGTGAGATGCTAGGGAGAATGGACTGAGTCTAATTTTGACTTATGATTAAGGCACATGTTTCTGTCACACTGGAAATTCAGTAAATGTTTATCAGATGTGCTGAAAAGATCTATTTCAACATCCTTCATCCTAGAAGATGTTCTCATGCTCATATCCCTCTCCTGGGGGTGTTTACTGGTATCTTACAATGTAGATCATACCCACTGCAACTTTGCATCAGCTTAATGTGTCCTAAACTCACCCCTTCAATGACCATTTTCACAGAGCCAAGTATTTACCATGTGTCTAGCGAGCAAAGCTGGGAAGATTGAGGTCAAGGTGCCTTCTTTTTTGAACTAACTATAATGATGGAAACCTGAGTTGAGATAGAAGGAGTATCTGGTAGCCCTCAAAAGTCACACTAAGTCTACATTTCCCCCCCCTTCTAATCTGTATTTGCTACCAATGTTCTAAGTAGTTTATTTACATGATATTGTGATTGTTATGATATATTAAAATTTTCCTCTTATTTTTGTATGTTAATCAATTGTGGGCATGAAATAAATTTACAGAAAAATTCTAAACTGTCGCACTGAGCAGGGAACTCTTATTGGTATCACATAGAATACAGCATCTCTGCTTCTGTCCATTGGGGGGAACTGTCATCAGCTCAGGTCCCTACCAATTAGTTCTCCAACGGATGATTAAAAAACCTTTTCCTTTCCAGTGTGGCAGAGAAAAAAAAGGGCCAAATGAAGCTGATAAAATGAAAACCAGCACTCAGGGTACAGAACACTGAGTAAATGGACAAATTAGTGTTTTCTGCCTATGAGTGGAGACAAAGTGTTGGCAACACCACCAATAAAAATGAGATTTAGAGTAAGCTTCATGCAAGTGGGTCAGCAAAGGCTAAACAATTTTCTTCAAATAGTAATACAGGCCCTAAACGAAAGGAGTAAGGTTCTAATGTAGACAGCTGTAGGACAAGAATAGCATGGCACACACCCAAGAGGATCAGGGCGCCTGAAAAAGCCTCCTGGCCAGAACAGAACAGATTATGCCTTTGGCCACACTGGTTAAGAGCCTGCAACTGTCCCTAGTGATCAAGCACTGGAAATTATCATAGAATTCCACATAGGATTCCACTGTTCATCCTTGTGGCTTCTTGCATATATTTATGTTCAGTGTAGTATGAAACTACACACACAGCTCTCACTCTACTGAGTGGATTTCGTTCATCTTTTGTTGGCTTCTTAAAATCCCAAATTAAAAATCTCTCCAGGTGACTGATGTAGGTAAAATTTCAGAGCGGACAAAATTAGGGACTTTCAGAAAGTCTATTCTATCCAGACATTTGACACATTACACTTCTCTAGAACAAATGGCTCCTGGCTGGGTGGCTGAATTATGATGCCCTAAGAACAACCAATGGGCTAATAAATTTGCTTACTTCTACCTCAGTGGGATTATGACATCAGACACCAAGCAGCCAGTCATCTCCTTCCTTCCTTCTTTCCTTCCTTGCTTCCCTTCCTTCCTACCTTTTTTTCCTTCCTTTCACTTCTTTCTCTTTCTGTTAACAGTTCAGTTTAACAAACTTTTACAGAGGGCCTAGAATGTGCCAGTTGCTGTGTTGAGGATATAAAGCTAAATAAATCTCTGCCCTTTTCTTTAAGAAGCTTACATAGGAGGTGCACAAGTAAGTGTAACACAGCATGACAATTGCAACATGAGCCATGTGCCTAAAGTTAGAGAGAGAAGAGAGTGATGAGCTCTGAGGGGCTGAGGCAGGCAGGAAGATTCTGTCCGTTTGAGCTGGGTTTAAATGTATTAAAAGTGCAACTGTAGAGAATCCCCTTGTCTGTTTCCTGGAGGTTAAGTGTATTAGTTATTCCAGCCAGCCTGCAGAATAAACTGTATGCCAAAAAGATGTTCAGCTTTGCTGATTGGCTAACGCTCTCAGAATCAAGGCTCGGCCTGAATTGAACTGAGCCAAAAGAATGAAACAAAGGGCAAGATTTGTTCAATCTGAACCGTAACCAATATGTTTTAAGAAAAAAAGGAAAAACCGCATGAAAGAATATTAGAACTGCAAGAAATCTTAGAGCTCATCTAGTCCATGTTTTTCATGATATAGATAGAAAAAAATGTGGCTCAGAATGATTAGGAACTTACGTAAACTCACGGGAAAACACTAATTTGCAGAGTGTGAGATAAAGCAAGAGTATCAGAGTTCCAAGTTTATTCTTTCAGCTTCTCCGGGACACCTGATAGTGTGCCGGAAAGAAAGATCGGATCTTTATTTTTCCCCAAATAATTGCCTACTTGATCATATCCTAAAGTAACTGAATAGAGAAAAAATGAGTGCATCGTACTATTCTCCAAATAGAACCTTTACTTCTTTGATACTGTCACATGTGTATATATGTGTGTGTGTGTATATATATACTTTTAAAGTAGAATCCCAACCTTGTTGAACACCTTCTTGTAATTTGAAGCATATGGATTCTTCTTTAATCAGCAGCATTGACTGTGGGCCCTGCAGGCTCTAGTTCTGTCTCTTTTTTTAAACTGAAGTATAGTCCATGTACAATGCTGTGTTCATACATAGTGAGTCAGTTACACACATGCACATATGTATTCCTTTCAGTTATACACACACATGTATTCAGTTATACACACATATGTATTCTTTTTCATTATAGGTGACTACAAGATATTGAATATAGTTCCCTGTGCTAGACAGTAGGACCTTGTTATTTATCTATTTTATATATAGTAGTATCTGCAAATCCCAAACTCTCAATTTATCCTTCCCCTTTCTTTTTCCCCCTGGTAACCATAGTTTGTTTTCTGTGTCTGTGAGTCTTTTTCCATTTTGTAAATAAATTCATTTGTGTCATTTTTTTATATTCTACATATAACTGATATGTGGTATTTATCTTTCTCTTTCTGGCCTACTTCACTTAGTATGATAATCTCTAGGTCCATGCATGTTGCTGCAAGTGGCATTATTTCATTCTTTTTTATGGCTGGATAGTATTCCATTATATATATGTGACATATATGATATATATAAAATATGTGTATTTTATATATACATATATAATATATATACACATACCATAACTTCTTTATCCAATCATCTGTTGATGGACATTTAGGTTGCTTCCATGTCTTGACTATTGTAAATAATGTCTAGAGCTCTCTTAAACTGATTGTTACCCAGAACTCATCAGAAGCTTTGAGGAGAAGATCGTCATTAACGGCACTTATGAGGATGCCCACTTATTCCTACAGGTGTGGAAGTTGTTAGCTTATATCAAGTTGCACTGCTGGAGAGCTAAGAAATGAGGTGTCAGTTGCTTGGCTCTCTCTTTGATGGCATGTGTTCTAGTGTTACCACCTTGGCATTGATCAAAGATGACTGCAAGAACAATCACATCAAGATTGTTTCTATATTTTCTAAAAAAGGGGGGGGTGTTATTAAGGACACTTTCAGATGTGTTGTTCTATACTCTCTGGAAAAGAATGAACATATTTTAGAATTGTTACCAGAAAAATGCATTTTTATTCAAAGAATTGGTATATATAGTTTTAAAATCACTAATAATCATATCACTTTTCCTTTTTGCCTTGACTGCCACAAAACCCAGAAATAAATGTAAAATAAGGCTCAATCTTAGTACATAGGTTTAAATTGGGGGCGTATTTGCTTTTTCCATTAAAATTTTTTCTAAATCTAGCAATGATATTTTCTATAAATCTTTTACTGTAAGTGAACTGAGATCGTTTTTTTTTGAAACTTTGGGAGGATAAATAATGAATACATTTGTAAAACACTTCCTTTGTTTTGAGTCCTTGGGGGCTATGCTTCTTTGTTATTAGTAAATACCCAGTTCCTGCTATGGACAACTGTGGTCCAGAGTTCTACAGAAACCAAGAGGTGCATGAAATGACTGCAGGCCTGAAGGGTCTTGAATCTAGTTGTGGGGCTGGAATATCACAGAGATAAATAACATCCGGTAGCATATTCTAAAGTGATTTCGTCATCTACAAAACAGAAATAGACTCACAGACATAGTGAACAACCTTATGGTTACTGGGGAAAGGGGGTGGGAAGGGATAAATTTGGGAGTTTGAGATTTGCAAATGTTAGCCACTATATATAAAAATAGATTAAAAAACAAGTTTCTTCAAAAAAATAAAGTGATTTTGAAGACCCATTGTATCCTAAGACCCTATAAGTCTATTAAATTAGTAATATGAACATTTGGTCAAAGTGTATTCTATTTTAAGTTGGCTTAAAAATTGATATTTTGACTAACATTTTTCTGAATGCAGTAAAGTTTTTGGTTAACTTTGTCTCGAAATAAGTTTTCATAAAAGCAGTTTGTGTTCATGGTAGAAATTTGGAAAATCAGAGAAGTATAAAGGAGCAAATTAAAATCATCCATAATCATGCCTTGGGTTCACATTGTATAACATAACACAATATATATAATTCAGTGTCCTACTTTTTTCACTTAACATTATATAATAAGAATTTCTAGATACTAGATATTTTTTAATAACAAGATTTCTATTGTGAAACTTTTCATTGAATGATTTGCTCAATCATTACCCTATTGTTGATTTACATTGTTTCCAACCTCGTTTTCTCTAGTAAATATAATACTGTGATTTACATAAATGGTAATAGGGATTATAGCATTTAGGAAGTCCTAACTATAATACATGCCAAGTACTGTGCTAAGTACTTCACATAAATGATCTTATTTAATCTCTTAATAATCCCGTGAAGAACTATAGTCCCTTGTTTACAGATGATGTAAACAAGGATTACAGGTCAATTAAAATGCCCACAGCAATAAAGAGAATTTAATCCTTAATTTGACATAAGCAAATATTCTGACTTGTTTTTTATTAATAATAGAACTGTTCAAAGATTTCAATTGCCTATTAAAATGTACAATTATTAGTTCCAAGTTAAAAAAATCTATGAGATTCTTTTCCATTCCCTTCCTTCTTCTTTATATTTTCTTTTAAAAATGTCTCTAATGAATATTTAGTGTTTTTTTAACTTTAGTCATTGTTACTGTACTATGATGAAATAATGTTATATCCTCTTTATAGTCCTTATTTTTTGTTAAGATATAATTAACATAATATTATGTACATGATTCAGTATTTTTATATACTGTGAAATGATCCCCGCAATAGGTGTAATTAACATCCCTCACCACACATAGTTAAGTTTTTTTTCCTTGTGACGAGAACTTTTATAGTCCTTATTTTGTAGTCTACAGAAAATACTAGGAATATAGGCTCCAGAAACAAGCCTTTCATTTTTATTAGAGGGCAACAGAACCACTGTAATTAAGAGGGGAAAAAAAGGCGGTGAAAATTCTGAATTTTACCGTAGTTGGACATGTGCAATGTTCACATTCTCAAATACCTGAAAAAAAATGGAACTGAATTGAACTAGCCAGCTGACTAGCTAGCTGAGGCTCTGCGCCACCCCTACTGTTTTAATGACTAGATAAAGATGATTTGCAATCAGCACAAGGATTCTAAAGTGCTTAATGGTGGTTAAAATGATTTCATTTCTTAAGTAGTTCAAACTGTGGCTCAATACACCCTTTTAAAATAGCGCCAAACCAGGTCTGAACTTGCACAGTCTCAATTAGAGAATTCATAATTAAACGAAACTTTAGAGTGCTTAATGATTCAAAAAATAGACCAAATGGTGTTTAACCCGGAGAGATTTAATTTGTGAACATCCTGGAACTAAAGTCTATTTACCTGGGCACCCCCCTCTCCCCAAACCTTAGGTGTTACAAATGAAGAATTCAAGGCTTGAGAAGTGAGAGAATCAAGGAGCCAAACAGGTGCTTTCTTCAGAGCCTAACCAAAAGCTTCCAGGAGGAAATGCCCTCTGCTCTTCTAGACAAGAAATCTCCGGCTGCCCCCCATTCCACACGGCCAGCGGGTCTCAGTCCATCAGGGGATCCGGGAGCCGCCATCTGTAGCGTGTTCCAGCCCCAGCTCAGCCCGTGGTCTCAGCAGCGTTGGGCGCCCTCGCTTTCCGCCACCAGCAGCAGCACGAGCAGCAGCAGGACGAAGAACAGCAGGAGCAGGAGGAACGGCGGCATCGCGCGCGCTGGCAGGTGCCGGGGACCCCGGGGATGGCAAGAGGGCTGGAGGGCGGCTGGGCGGGAGGCGAGAGGAGGGCGCAGCGAGGGCTGGGCGGCTACGCCGGCGTTGCCAGGATGCGGGCCGCGCGCGTCCCTAGCAGCCGCCCGCTCACGTCAAAGTTTGTTTAATAATCGCCCGGGTATTTATGGCGGGGGCTGGGGGCGGCCCCGGGGGAGCCCGGAGACCGCGCGGGGCAGCGGATGAGGCGTGGCGGCTGTGGCCCAGGGCACCTCCCCCCGGCTTCCCGAACCCTGCCCCGTCCGACCCCAGGGGGAGGATGGAAACACCAGCGGCGCTCTGAGCCCCTCAGGAAGATAACACCTTTCCCGCCACATCGCCCCGCGGTCCTGCGGAGGCCCCCCCTTTGTCCCCTCCACGAGTCCATCTCCCAGAGCCGGGCGGAGCGGAAAAGCGGAGCGATGGCGGATAACCTGAGGAAACTGGTCTCCAACGAATCTTTACGATCCCTGCAGGACAAGCTGGAATGCTGGCTGAGGGAGTACAACGTGAGTCAGGGTGGGAGACCCCCGGGGCTCGCCCTCCCTCTAGTTCCTGGCACAGCCCTCGAAGGGGGTTCTTAGGGCCGCTCTCGGGGTGACCCCTCTGCAGAGTCCCTTGGTTGTGATTTCTGACTGGTACCCAGCCTCGGGCCGGGGTCGCGAGGAAGGAAGGAAGGACGCCTGCGGGCGGGTTCCCCTTTCACCCGGGCGGCCAGAGGCGGCTCCGGGGTGGCGCGGCGGGCGGAGCTGGGGTCTGGGAGTCGGGGAACCGACAGCGCCTTCCACCCAGCGGTAGCCAAGGACGCTGGCCGCCCTGGCAACGGGAAACCCAGCGAGCCGCCCGGGTCTGGTCAAGCCAGCCTGTCTCCCTTCCAATCCCCTCCGCCAGCACAATTCACCGCCATTCCCCCGACTCGAATTTTTTTTTTGTAAACTACGCCCTTCCTAGTGCCTTTCCACGAGTCTCCCACTCTGAGGATAACTAGTGGTTATATCAGACTGGAGTTTTATAAAAATACACTCGGGAGTTATATTACCCAGATGTCAATGAAATGGACACTTGTCAACGCTGCAGGGTCTCATTTGCGTGCTGGTCAGCACGGCAGGTAAAGAGCAGCTTCAGAACCCGGGCAGACTGCAGAAGTCCTGTTGCCCAGGCACTCGTAAACCAATATTCTGTCATCAAACCCAGAGGCGTTCTTCGAATCTCATTAATCTCCACCCCTACTTCCGTTCGTCTTAATCTCCCCCACCCAGAAGATAGAACTCCAGTGCAGAATTTGCTTTACGTTCGGTTGGTTGGTCCGTCTTAAAAAGGAGAGTCCTATTGTTACACAGCAAGTAGAACAGGGAGGCAGAAAGAGCTGGGAACCGGAGACAGCCCTGCTAACTTCCAGGCCTGGCTCTGCACAGAAGCAAGCTGAATCATTTCGGGCAATTTATTAACCTCTCTGAGTTTCAGTACCTCCTCTACTAAATGGGAGAGGCTGGAATTAGATGATATGTAAAGTTCCTTTTTGGATGTCAGTTATTTTTTTTTTTTAGTCTAGATCAGCTTGCTTCTGAAATACTACCAGGAAAAATGCAGCTGGCTTCTGTTATGAGTCCCTGGTCTTTCCCATTAACCTTCTAACCAGGGATCCTGGAAGAAGGGAAGCTCAAAACACAGCTAGAGTTTTCTACTTAGCCTTACTTCCTTGTGTTTACCCCCTTTCCCCACGTTTAAAGACCTGGCACTGACTATTTCTTCTCCAGCAAGATTGCAGAAAAATTAAAATTCACCTCTAGCACAAAGCCTTGGGTTCCCCGTCCCCACCTTCAGAAGTGCCTGCTTGTTACCTAGTCCCAGAAGGTTGAGGATAACAAATCCTAATACATGTATTTAGCCTTCTTAAAACTACTTCTTACCAAAAAAATTTGTTTTTTCTTGCCCTGTGGCCTAAATACATTTGGAATGTTAAAAAGTATATTCAGTTTGTCAGAAGACAACATCTGACACAAATGACACTAACAGTTGCTTAAATTAAATGATTGTTTAGAAACTACCAGTAAGTCCTAAGAAATGCCAAAGTTTATTGCACTTTCCCATCTCACTAACAATGGTGCATCCCACTGAACCATTTCAATCTAGATTCTTCACCCACATACACACATACACACAGACACGTGCGCATAATAGAGACTGCACGCTTAGAGACCAATGCCGTTCCAGAGTCTGTGGTCATTCCCTGGGCACCATCATTTCTCTTTGACTCTGGCATTTCACTTTTGACATCCCTATTCTTCTAAGGCTCTAATAATTCGTCTCCTTGCCTTCCCACTCTCCCCACCCACCACTTGTAGCTATTCTTCAAGAGCTAGACTTTAGAAATCTCTTCCACCTTCATGCCTGTTTCGTCTCTTGCTCCTATGCTGATGAATTTCATATCTATATTCAGGTCCTGTTCTCATCTGAGTGCTCACTTCTGCAGTTGCCAGGATATTTTCAGTTGTGCTATTGTCATCTCAAAATCAGATCAGTCTAAAACCAACCTTACTCTCTCCCATGCCCCAAGACTAAGTAGTCTTTATCATGACATATTCTACCTCCTTCTTACCAGCATAATCTGTTGATACCAGCTTCTAAATTCATGCTAAGCCTGAGCACTCTTCACCACCCCCACTGCTGCCATACTGTCCACCTTTGGTCATCTTTCATTTGGATTATTTAAAAAATGATAACCCAAAGTGATTCTTCTGAATGTCAAGTCAGATTGAGTTACTCCTCTGGCAAAACTCTCCAAACTTCCTCTCTCAGAATAAAAGTTCCTACAATGGCCATCAAACACAATTGTTCTCCTTTAAACTATGTGACCTCATCTATTATTTTCTCCCTTGCTCAACCACTTCAGCAATACTGGCCATCTTGTTCCTTCTAGAGCAAAGCTGTCCAATGGAACTTTCCATGATGACTAACATGTTCTATCTGTATATCTATATGCTATATTTGCACTGTCCAATATGGTGGCTATTGGGCACTTGAAATGTGACAGGCGCAAACTGAGGAACTGAGTTTTTAACTTCATCTAAGTCTAATCTAAATTCAAATAGTCACATATGGCCAGTGGTGACTGTATTGGCTGGAGCAGTTCTAGAACACACCAGCCATGCTCTAGCTTCAGGACATTTTGTTCTTGCTGTTCCCTTTGCCTGGAAAGCTTTTCATGTACTGATATTTCAGCACGATATCGACATCCTTGCTTCTTTACCTCCTTCAAGTCTTTGCTTCAATGTCACCTTCTCAGGAGAGATTGTTCTGTTTACAGTTGTAATCTCCTGCCCTCACCCCTTATTTGAGGCAGGGGGAGAGGTAATTAGGTTTGTTTGTTTGTTTGTTTGTTTATTTATTTATTTATTTCTTAATGGAAGTACTGGGGATTGAACCCAGGACCTCCTGCATGCTAAACATGCTAAACATGAGCTGTACCCTCCCCCTGCCAGCTGCATCTTAATGATGGACTTCTAGTTAGAGAGGAGGATGAAAGACAGAGGAAACAGCATGTGCAAAAAGCAAGGAGGAGGAAAAAGCTAGCATATTTGGGGAGCCTGTCACTACTTCCAGGCAGGGAGTGGATGTGAGATGAGGGCAAGGAGGCAGGGTGGTGGGGACCAGAGGATAGGGGGCTTGGCTGGTGTGTTAAGGAGTTTGGACTTTATCCTGAGGCAATGGGGAGAAGCTAAAAGCATTATGCAGGGAGGAGATAGATTTGGATTGTATTCAGGAAAGTTTGCTCTAGCTGTTGTATGATGGGGAAGTTGGAAACCCTAGGCAGAACAGAGAGGACTGCGCGATACTTTAGGCAAGAGATAACACGGATCGGCATCTTGTAAACTACTCTGGGGCTTTTAGTAAACAAGGTCAAGTGGTCCCAGGATGGTCCTTAAGGTTTATGTAAGAGTATGCTGCTCCAAATGCGCCCAATTTATCAAGTAACATCAGTGTGGTTTTATTGATCAATTCTGTCAAAGAGTCAAATAACCACCTATGCAGAATCTAATTACTCCGGAGAGACGCCAAGATGAGAAGAGAAATTAACCTCCTTAAGATGTTAGCAGTACCTGAAGAAGGCCAACTCTGGGCTGGAACTCTCCTCTCTCTGGGATGCTTTTGTTTCTACTCAGATTTCTGGGCACTGGGGACTTGATTTTGGTCAGATGCTCTAAGATTTATTACTTTAAAAAATGTATTCTGTGTACAAAGGGTAAGAGCTTACTATATGCTCAATTACCCCATCCCTAAGATAAGACAGAACCACATTTCTCAAAGTAAGATAATAGACATCAAGACATTACACTCTGGAAATTTCTAATTATCTGATATATGAGTGGGGATGGCAAGGTGGGCTGGTAATGCTGCCTCTTGAATTACTCTCCTCTTGCGCTATAGAAATCGGTACTAACAAGTGAAAACAGCATATTAAATATCAGCATATAAAAGGAGCTTTTAAAGAGTTGTCCCTTCTGTTTTAGAATAAGCTTTGTGGTTGAAATAGAGGCTACCTTTATGTCAAGGTGTACAAAATGCTGTTGCCATTGCTACAGTGTCTTCAAACAGACTCTGCTCTCCTTCACTCCTCCCTCTTCTGTATTCTTGGGGAATCAGTTTAATTAGTGAATTTATAGAGAATATTTTTATTCCCTTTAGGACCTTTATCTCTTTATTAGCCAGTAATGAATAAATGCCAAACCTTAGTGTCTCAACATAAGAGGTTTATTTCTCATTTGGGCGAAGTCTGATGGCAGTTCCCACCCATCACTGGCTCAGTGTCAGGCATCCCTGTCAGATGCAGCAGGACCTCAAGGATTCTGCAGAGGAGAGGGAGCAAAGAACTGGCCCTACTCTTACATAACACACATCCCTGGCACTCATCGTCCCTTGGTCAGAATTAGTGGCTCCCATCTAATTGTAAGGGAGTCTGAGAAATGTAGAAAAGCACATGGAATATTTAATTCATGCTACTACTCTGCCACTGTTAATAATGATGAATCCATGGTTATAAAAAAAAATTGACAGATGGTTAAGGAATATTATTTTCTTTTAACAGAGAGGCGATCAACTTTAAATTTGATTTTTTCTTATTTTCTTCTTGGACTAACTGGTTCATGTAAACATCATCATTGTTTGATATTCAAGAAGTATCAAAAGAAGTCCAATAGGGATGTTAACTATGGTTCAAGGCACTCAAATCCAATGGAGAAACTTAAATAGGAGCTTTTCCTAAATTGTGGAGATATATATAAGCCTAATTTTTCTTGTATCTAAAATTCAGGATTTCAGTTTAAAAACTTGTTGTGGAGGCAGTGGTGTGTGGCAAGGTGATGATGTGGAACAGAGGGTTGATTTCGGGAACAATGTTGCCTGAAAGGCTGCCCACATATGGGACTGCACTTCCCTAGGGGGGCAGTTGTAGCCTGTTCTAACCACCACTTATTTTATTTTATTTTTTTACTTTGCAGAGTACTTTATT